GTGCCCAAGAGAGATGGATACGAAACTTGTCTTCCCCTAATCAGATCCTTGTCCCTTGTCTATTAAACAAGAGGATTGTATATATGACACAGATAGCATTAAAAATCAGTGGATTAGACAAATTTCTTCTAGACAAGCATTTTAGGGTACAAAAAAGAAAATTAGACCCCTGTCTACAACTTCTGAAAGGAAACATCTAAATGGGGGGAAAAAAAGACCTTAAACCTTTTAGAAGAAAATAGAAATGATATCTTTATGATCTTGAAGTAGTAAATTATTTATTTAAAAAGGCACAAAAAAGACCAATCATAAAGAAAATATTGCAAAAATAACTACATTTGGATTTCAAACTTGTGTTTATTAAGCACACCTTAAACAAAGTTAAAAGATAAAAGCCACAGAAAAGAACATATTTTGCAGTGCATATAACAAACTGAATATATAATAAAGCCTTCTAAATAAATTGTTTAAATACCCCAATAGAAATTCATATACCCCAATATTATTCAAATACCCCAACAGAAAAATGAGCAAAGTATATGAATAGGTGATTCACAGAAGGGGAAATTCAAATGGAAAGATGTGCATCTTTCCAGTAATTAGGGTAATGCAAATTATAAAGACAATAAGATAACATTTCACACCCTTCAGACTGGCAAATATTATATTTCACAGACTATCAGTAGGAATGTAAAGAATTTTGGTGAGCACAATTGGACACTCTCTCATAAGACTAAAGATGCAGGCAGTCTTGGACCCAGCAAACACAAGAAAACAGGTACAGAAAGTATTCATTAGTGTCAGTTTCCAATAGTGGAAAGTTATAAACAACCTAAATTCCATCACCAGGAGAACAGATAAATAAATTGTGGTATATTCAGACAGTGGCCATCCGACTGGAGCTGCATAACATGCGTCCATGTGGATAGATTGTCAAAAGCAAGTTGTAGACTGCTCTGTGAAGTATGATGCCATTTACACCAAGTGTGAAAACAGAAAACAACACCATACGTTATCTGTGGATACATAATTATATGTAGTAAGAGTAGAACAAATAAAAATACCAAATTCAAGTCAGTGATTACCTTAGGGGATGAACACCAGGAGGCAGAGAAATACAATTAAGGAAGAGAACACAGAGGCTTTGTCTTTATCTTCAATTAAAAAACAAATCTGATGCAAACATAGTAAAATATTAAGTTGCTATAAGGCCAGGAGTTGAGTATACTGCCGTTCATTTTAAAATTCTGTGTACTTTTCTATATATTTGAAATTGTTCATAAGAAAAGAGAAATGCTTTGATTCTATGAAATGTGATCAAACTATGTTAACACGTAGCGACAGCAACAAAAATCTTTGTCTGTGTCCTAATACCTTTATCCATAACAGGCTCAGATGCCGATTCTGTGACTTTAGGCAAGTTGTTTAAACCCTCTGAGCCTTCATTTCCCCATGTATTAGTTGAAGATAATAATAATGCCAGTCTCACAGTGTTGCCAGAAAGAGAGGTTAGCACAGTGCAGATGGTACCTGTACAGGGCTTGCGCACTTGATTGGTTGATCTAACAAATAGTCATTGAGCCTCTACTCTGTGCCTGGCACTGTTGTAGACACTGGGTATGGAGAACAGTGGGGGGAAAAAACAGATACACATCTGCATTTATGGTGCTTATAGTCTAGTGTAGGGAGGCATGTGATACAGACAAGTTATAAAGTATAGGGAACGGTGATAAGTACTAGGGAGAGAAATAAAGCAGGGGATGTTAGCTGTAAATGCCTCTCTCCCGTCAGTGTCTCTGTCTTTGATGTTGCTCTCTTCCTCCCTCCATCCTGCCCCCCTCTCTCCCTCTCTCAGTCTTTCCGTATCCCCTTTTTCACTTTGCCCTCTTCTCCTTGCATTGTTCTCATGGCCATGGCCCTCTCCCCGCCCCAGCACTGAACTGTTTGTTGCCCAATTATCTTAGTGATTGACTTTTGCTACAGAGGACCTTGTAGCTTTTGTGGACTCAGGGACTGAGCTTTGAGTGATTTTGTACTGAAAGCACTTGGCACAGTAGTAGGCAGGTAGCAGTAGCTCTACAAACTCTTCAAAAGGTGATGGAAAATTATAGACCAGTTGGGTAACTGATCAGAGCCATTACGGAGGAGAGCTTGAAGCCCCGAATCAACACTTGCCCCAGAGTACTGGCCTCCAAGCCCAGATCTGATGTTTCTAACTGTGCAGTCTTGGGCAAATTTCTTCACCTCGTCAGATCTTTGTTTCCTTGTTTATAAAAGAGAAGGGTGTATAGATGATTTCCAAGGCATCTGCCTGTGACAAAACTACTAAACCCATTTTCATTATCTAGAGTTTTCCATTCTAATTTATTGTTCCTCAGTGTATTTCTTTCTATCCTTACTGACCTAGAGCAACATTGCAGCAAATATTTTTTTCATTTTGAAGACCCTTTCAAGTAATTGATGCTTTCTTTTGACCTCTTTGGTTGTATGAGCAAAACAATCATATTATGATATAATATCCTATGGGATCTTAAAACATCAGGAGCAAAAGGGACTTTACAGATAACAAGTAGTTACCATTCATTAAACAACTAGTGTGTCCTTTTCCTCATTATGGTTAGTACTTCTGTAAACCAAAACAAGGGGTTGTACTGTCTTTCCTTTTAGAGAGCTGTGTTGCATAATGATTGAAGAACAACTCCAGAATCCGAGAGTCTTGGGTTCAAGTCCCAGTTCTGCCAGTTATTAGTTGTGTGACATTGGGCACTTTACCTCTCTAAGTCTCAGTGTCCTCCTTTGCAAAAGAAGAGTATCACTCATCTCCTATAGTTGTGATGAGGATTAAGTGTGATAGTAATTCTGCACATTTACATGGGTCTATACAGGTAATGAATCTGCCACAGAGCAAGGGCTCCAGAAATGGCTGGTTTTGTTTTTAACATTTAGTAAGAGTAACTCATCCAGGGTCTAAGTTACTAAGTGGCAAAGCTGGATCTCAACCTGGGCAGATTGATCCAGTGCCCATGCAATTACCCACAATGCTGTACCTCCTCAGTGGTTCACGGGACCCATTTTGGGGAAGTGGATGGAAAGTTGAGCTTTGGAGACTGCATCTCACAGTGATTTAGCACAACCTGACCCCTTCTGAATTTCAAATGGACACAACACTCTGGGGATGAAGGAAGAGTGTGGACAAAGTATAGGACGGGGCCCTGGCCTCGAGCTTTGTGGATACCAGGACCAGAGGTTGTGGCAGGCTCTGAAGAGAGGGGGATAGGAGTTGGTGTGTGTGACCTGCTGGGCATCCACTGGCCTCAGAGTTAAGCTGAGCATTTTCTTCTATAGCCTTCTATAGAAGGTTGTGTATGTGTGTCTGTGTGTATGTGCAGAAGCCAGGTATAATTAAAAAGAAAATTGATAAATTCCACCAAGAAGGTGGAATTAAAAAGAAGAGTGATGAATTCCACCAAGGAGGAGCCATCCTGTTACCCCCAGCTGGCCCCCATCACCTTATTTCTTACAAGTATCGTGCACTAACCAGTTATACAACTGGAGCTATAGCCCCAGCACCCTATTCCTGAGACTTGAAGAGGCATAGCTCCCAATTCAAAGGGCCCTTCTGGGACCTCGTCTTTGATTTTCCCATCTGTGCTGTGAGCAGACTGAACCGGATGATCTGTAGGGGACTGGGAACCGATTTGGGAGCCAGACCAAATTGAGGCAAATCCCTACATACTGCTAATGGAGGGACTCCTTTCCTGCTCCATAAGGGAGGACAGTACCACCTATCCCAGTCTGTGGTGAGGAGCAGACATGTGTTAAGGGCTTAGTAGAGTTTGGGCACGTGGTAAGCATGACGATGATGATGATGACTATGACTAGGACAGTGATAAAGGTCATGGTGGTGATGATGGAATCACAGTATAAGTAATACCAGAGAGTCTTCCAGGTCCTCTAAAAAAGCAAACTAGAGGGAAATGGGAAAAGGAGGTCAGCTGTACATAGGTGGGTGAGAAGTTTTGGACATTTCATGGGAAGCAGAATAGCTACATGGAGATGTCCCCTTGGGAGCTGGAAGCATGGGACTGGAGACGAAGGTTTGGCCCCTCTGGCTCTGGCATTCCTGAGGCTTGATTACAGCAGACATTAATCGAGTCCCTTCCACATGTGGATCATCCGACTGGCCATGGTGGCAGCACGACATGCAAGAAAAGATGGTTTTGAAATAATGTGTTATAATAGGAATATAAGTACCTACCTTATGGGGTGGTTGTAGAGATTAAATGAGAGAATATAAGACTTTAAACACAGAGGCTGGCACTTTGGAAAAATCTTTGGAGAGGATTGTTTACATCCCTTTTTATGAAACAATCTACTCTTAAGAATTTGAGAATACCATATATTTTCAATCTAATACCTTTTCTAAGAACCATGTGTTAAACAGAGGTCTCAGAAACATTTAAGGAAATAATTCAGTTGTTGCAGATTTTAATTTTTAGTTCTGCTCCCAGGATTGTCAGGTACATCGGTATAGGGAACTAGAAGGCAGAATCCCTGCCATGGACATCCTTAAAGTCCAATCGGGGAAATAAAACATAACTTGTGGAGGAGATAAAAATGAAAGACACCATGTCAGTACATGGTGAACAAAGTGAGTCATGCTCAGATGAGGATGAGGCCAGTGGGTATATGAGGGCTCAGCTGGCTCAATGGCATTTGGATAGATGGCTCAATGGGTGCCATTTTTGATGAGCCAGATTGAGCAAGGAAAAGACTCACTTGCTACAAAGTGTTAGTGACACCTTATGTCAAGCATTAGGCTAGGCTGAGGATACAGCAAAGAGGAGCAACTTTTGACCATGCAGAGATGATAATGGAGTGGGGGAATGAGAGACTTGAACAGAGCAGTGGAGCCCAAGGTAACATGGACGATTGAGCAGGTGGAGGGGCGTACATGAGCTGCCATGACTTACCTTTCTGTTTGGATCTTCTCTTACCAGGGTCTTTTCACTTAATTCACTTGATGTTTGATGACTACGTGCTCTACCTGTTAGAATCCCTACACTGTCAGGAGCGGGCCAATGAGCTCATGCGAGCCATGAAGGGAGAAGGAAGCACTGGTAAGCTGGCATTTCACTGGGGATTGCTCTACTTGGCGATTTGATTTGTACCCTTACTTCCATGCTCTGTGTTTCTTTAGCTCTGTCTTCCAAAGAATTCAGTTGTAGTGGGCAGGCCAGGTGGTGTGAAACCAGTGATGTCTTTTTCTTCTTTAGAGTGGGCACACATGTGTATGGAATTGCCTTGCACGCCATGATGGTGGTGCAAAATCATCAAAGGGCTTGAAGCAGAAGGGTGACATGACACAGATGAGAAAGAATATTTCCATTTTTAAAGTCCTTTAAAGACAACTTACCTTGACCTTTGGCTCTGAGGACCCACCCTTTCTCTACCCATAGCAGAAGTCCGAGAAGAGATTGTCTTGACAGAGGCCACCCCGCCAACCCCTTCCCCGGTGCCATCGTTTTCACCAGCAAAATCTGCCACGTCCATGGAAGTGCCACCTCCGTCCTCCCCCGTCAGCCACCCATCCCCTGAGTACACGGGCCTCAGCACCACAGGTAACGAAAGGTCCCCCCGGAGGCTTTGAGTGCGGAGTTGGTATTTAAAGCAAGAGCTTTCTGGAAAAACGTTCTTCCCCTCAACCCCCCAAAACAATGCCAAGTATTTGCCTGGATTTATAGATGCCTTGCAGTTACTCATTTATTCGTATGTACATATTCTTCATGCTTTTGTTTTCAAGTTGGCAGACTGAGTACATGATAATCACCATCCCCCCAACTAAGCCACTGAAATGATGAGAATGATATAAGACATAAATTAATACACAGCCATTCTTTCTTGAAAACGAGAAAGGGAGCTCTCTGTGAACCAGAAGTTGAGAGGCATCTCTGGAAAGTAGGGCAGCCAGGAAGCCATATGCTAAGACATGGCAACCATGTCGAGGCGGGGGCGGTAAGCAAGGTACAGACTGATGCTCTGGGGTTCCCAGGGAAGCGGAGACTCCCTCTGGTGGGAGGCACCGAGGAAGACCTCACAAAGGAGTGGATCTTCATTTTAACGGAGGACGGTGGAGCAGAAGGGCCTTCTAGACAGAGGGCGGTGTGAACAGATGGACAGGGGTGGGGACGTGTGGGGCCTTCTCAGGGCACAGGAAACTTTGTCTGAAATGTAGGAGGTCTGTGGAGGGATCTTGTGAGGCTGGAGTCACTTCCTGAAGGATCTTGAATGCCAAGACACGGTTTAGAAATGGAGAAGAAGAGGTGATACAAGGATGATAATAACTAGTTGCTAAGGTCCGCTGTCACCCGGGTAACCCTGCAAGGTTGTGGAGGAGAAGTGGAGGGTAAGAAAGCTTAAATCCCTTGTTCCGGGCACCACAGTCACTCATCCATTCAACAAATGTCCTTAAGACATTGCTCATGAGACTCATGGAAGTGAGATTGTGTAGGTGGGATATTCAACAAGTGTTAGCTAATATATGATAACACACCGTGTGTGCGTGCGTGCATGTGCATGCTTCTAGAGCAGCTCATGTGGTTGCTGTGGGGATCAGATGAGGTAAGAGAGGCCAAAGTGCTTTGTGAACAGCGAGGTACGATCCAGACAGAAGGGCTTACTGTGATTAATGCCAAGAAGGTGAGGGCTATGGCCAATGCTAGAGGGGCCAGAGGAAGCAGCAGTCCCCTCCCTTCCCACCTGAACTCTGGCAGGCAGGAGGGAAGGTTGCAGGAGAGAGGGGACATGTGAAGGCGGCCTTAGAAGCCACCAAGGAACTGACAGGAGAGGAATGAAAGGCAGACATGACCTTCTGCTAGATGGGCCCTGGGTGGGGCTGAGCCAGCAGAATGACCAGTCCTTGTGGAGTGGAGGGCTCCTAAGACTGTGATAATCCACTCATCCTCTTTCCTTCCAAACCTGCTTAACTATTCTCCCAGTCACCCAACCCCAAATCTGGGAGTCAGCTTCAAATCTTTCCCCTCAGCTCCTGTATTATTAGGATAGGCTAAGCTACTGTAACAGATCTAAAATGTATGGAGAAGCCAATTTCGGGCTTGTAGACAGTCCTGGCAGGGGGTCTAGGTCAGAGAGGGGGCTCTCTTTAATGCAACTATTTGGAAACACTTGGTCTTTCAAGATTAGGTTGCACCATACCCCAGGGCAGTGGTTCTCAAAGTGCAGTTCGTGGACCAGCAGTCTCAGCATCTCCTGGGAACGTGTTAGAGATGCTCGTTACCAGGTCCCATCACAGACCTTCTGAATCAGAAACTCTAGGGGCGAGGCCCAGAGGTTTGCTTAACACGCCTCCAGGTGCTTCTGATACACGCTAGCTCGAGGCCCACTGCCTTTGGGCTTCGTCAAGTCTGCAACAGCGGACAGAAATAGAAGGTGGGTGTGGGGAGGAAAGCCCACTCTCTCAAAGGCCCTGGCCTGAAGGTGGTGCCGGGTCCCTTCCACTTAAATTCCCCGAAGCGAGGACTCAGTCACACGGCCTCATATAACTGCAGAGAGCAGGTGGGAAATGAAGGGTAATTTGACGGACCCATTTCTTCCCATCCCACCACTGCCGTGTGTTCGGGCCTTCCCCACCTCTCCTGAACCCCCAGCAGCCTCTCAAGCTGGTGACCTGCCTCCACTCTTGTCTGTCCACTTTCTCGAGGCCCACCGGGCTGGTTTCCCTGAAGCTGTGCCTCCTCAAAGTGCGGGGGCCGAGTCCACCACCTTGCACTCAAGCCTGTGAGCAGGCTCCTTCTCCAAATCGCTGCTCGCACTGCTCCCCCTCTGGGGCTCTCCTCCTTCCCCCTCTGCCTGAAGAAGTCCTACTCACGTTCTTCGTTTCCCTCACCCTCTGGGTTCGAATTTTCCTCCAGACCCTCACAGCATGCTTGGGCTTACTTATATCCTAGTTCTACTTAGAATAGAATTGTTTTCAGAATAGACTAGGGACTAAATTGCATGTTTTTGAAGACCAAATAAATAGGGTGAGATTGCCCTATTTATGATGTTTTACCCCTTCATTCACTTACATGTCCACCCATTTATCTATCCATTTATCCAATAAATATTTCCCCAGTGGCTTCTATATACTAAACACTTGAGGTCCTTGCCTCCTGGGAATTTATTATTTCGAGGTTCGGGTTCTGATAAGCAAGCTGGCAGTCACAAATAATGTGAGGAGTGCTAAGTTGGGCTGATTTGGGGAGAAAGGAATAGAGGAGCACAAAATGAGGCTGTGTATCTGGAGGGTCTGGGAAGGCTGAATAATGCAAGAGAAGGTAGTCTTGGCAGAGGGACTAAGTATTAGTATAAAGACCTGGAGGCAAGAGAGAGCATGTCATTTTCAGAGAAGATCCAGTATATATCCTAGGAATCTTCGATTAAATCCTTCCTTCGTTGCCTTTCTCTTGAGAACTAGTGCTACTCAGAGAGGGAATGAGCAGGTGCTTAAGAGCCTATAATGTGTCTGACCTCTCTGCCCTTGGCCAGGGGCAGAAACTTGCCCACCAATGAACTCAGCGGTCCTTTGTCAGGGACCACTAAGGAGACCGGATTCTTCAGAGTATTGAGAAGTAGGGTGGTCAGTAATTGGCATTAGATGGAGCTTTGATTTCACGTTGGGTACACAGCTGGAAAGTGCCCTCCTCTTCTGTGGAAATTTACATTTTGGCATCACATATCTGTTTACATGGATGCACCTGGAATAGTGTTTTGTTTCCACTTTGAGGAGGAAGAACACGACCCGCCCCCCCCCCCCCCCCCCCGCCACCACCCATCCCTCCCATTTTTCCTCCGTCGTGGGCTCTTGTCATTCCTGCTTAGGAGGCTTGGGAAGGAAAGCCGAACGGGAAGAACCACCTTAGTCACTGTGAATGAAACGGGAAGAGAACTTGAGCCCTGTTCACAGCTCTTCAGCCGCTCAGGGGTCCTCCCCAGGCCGGAGCATGGGGCAGGGATCCCCAGTCTTCCGCCTTAGTCGGGAAGGAACCAGGAGGGTAAGAAGGGCTCTCAGCCTCACCCCCATCCCCCTGGGAGATGCACGTGAGCCAGTTAGTGATAACATCCTCACTGCGAAAATAAACAGGGAAACTATGCAAATCAAACAGTTGTGCATTGTGGAGCAGAAGCAGTTTGGGTGAGAACTTTCCTGCAGCGTAGCAGCTTGTCCAGCAAGGAGACTGTAAGGAAAGAAGGGGACAGGAGGGCTGTGAAGGCAGGATGTCTAGAATCTCTTCATAATTCTCACCCGGCTAGTGAGTCTGCCTGGTTTTCCTCACAGCACTGTGGAGGCCTCAAGGTGTGGCAGGTGTGATAGTCAAACCCACAGGAATATCATAAATGTGTTCAGAGATTTCTGTGCAATGTGTTCAAGAGTCATAAAAGTAGCTTCTTAGAAATACAAATGTGAAACAGGTTCTCTTCAGATGATCGTAACCTTTGAAGATTTTGGCACATTCCTGCTTTGTTCTCAGACATCTCCAGGGGGCATTAAAAATGTCATCCTAGATAAAACTATGTGTAATATTTTTCTCAAGTACCACTTTTGAAATACTCCATTGCTAAATTGGACTGGATCTTGGCATGCATGTGGGTCATGGTCTTGGAGGAGACATAATTTCCTAACAACATGTATGGTTTTATAGATATTGCATTATAAAGCACATGTATCCCTGATATTTCCTAATATCCCAGGATATTAGGAAATATACTATGGTAGGTTTCTTAAATTGGGGGATTTATGCAAATATTTCGTTGACCAATGTTGTGAATTGGAAAATAATTATTGTGTATCTTATAAAATGCATTTGCCATTTTTCTTTTTTTAAAAAGTTAACTCAACATATGGTCTTCATGCCCAGTTAATTTTTATTTCCATCTTAAAATTACTGGCAGATTTATATACCATGACTTTCCAAAAAGTATCTGAAGTGGTTAACAATTAAAAAAAAAAAAAAAAAAGCAAAAGCAAATTTTTAAAAAGGACCCAAACCAGAAAGCAAGAAGTGGGGAAAATTAAACAAAACCAAACCACCACTGCTAAAAACAGTTTATTAATACGTTAAATGAAATTTTATGTGACCTAGTTATTTTGCTGGGTCTCAGCATGCTCTGAATATCATCCCTCAGGTGATAATAGGTATTATTAAGTTCGAGTTAGAGTCAGGGCCCATCAGGTGTCTGCAACTTTTCCACATATCAATGTCTCACTTTTGACAGACACTTCCCCATTTTTCAACTGTGAAAAAGAGAACAGTATTATGTCTGCTTGGTGAGCACAAAGAGAAAATTAATTCATTGCACATAATCTTTTGGCATCCTTTGGTACAAGCTCTAGTGAATACAAAGTCCTTTATTATAGATAATGAGTTATGACTTACTAGGAAAACAGCCACTCTGCTTATCTATGGCTCTGTCTCGTTCTATGCCCATACCTACATGTATTTCTAAATATGTTTTCTTAGGACTGTTTTCATTAATTGTTTTTAAAGGCATGGAGGGGGGTGTGGAAGAAAGTGAAAGGAAAGGAGTATTGGGCACCTAAAATGGAACCTGATACTGGCTG